CAAAACGTTCGCTAAAAAAAAGGGATTACTTGAGTACCCAGGGCTAGGTCATAAAAACCAGACATCCAGGCGGGCTGCAAATGACCTGGGAACATCGAGGGTCATCGTGACGTCATTTCAACATGGTCTCATTTTGCCAACTCGAGAAGGGATGCTAGCCGAAGATGAAAGCTGTAGAGGCACGCGCAACTACCCTCACTACCCTCTGGGCCGCTCCCACTCCAAAGGTACGAACATCTTAACCGGGGGAGTCGGAAAACGAAGAAACAAGAATACACTTATCAAAAAGCAAGACTTAAGTACGCCACGCGAATATTTCTTTTTTGAAATTATTGTCGGTACTTTTATTTTGTAACTTATTGAATAATAAATAATAGATTTGCGCGCAAGGCAAATCTAAATTAAACTAAAATAATCTGAGTGTTTTAAATTTATTATATACATATTAATATATTATTTAATTTAACTTATTTGAATTTAAATCTACTCTCCCGCCTTAATCTATTTACTGCGAGTTGAACGCCCTACCGCGTTCCAACGGGCGAATTAAAAGAACTCAATAAATTTACTATAGCCAATTTTGGGCTATACATCCCTTACGTACCAATCATATTGGTACTGTAGTAAATACCATCATAGAAAGTAGCCTGATCATTATAGGTATACGTATTACGTATACATAACTGAAAAAGTAAATAAATAACATCTGAAAATAATAACAGCTGTTGAATTTAAATTGTGTTGAATATTTTTTTTACATTCTTATGATAAATAATTGTACTTTAATAGTCATTTGGAACTTACTGTAAGCTGCGTTAATACTGCGGTTCAGAACAAATGGAGGTAATAATTTTTCTTTATTTTTTAATATAGATATTCTACAAAATTGAAACTTGCTGTTTTTGAGCAGAAAAAAAGTTTATTTTCCGTATCTCTTAAGTTGATTTGATGTTAAATGAACATTGGCGTTAATAATTTTATTTTTGAAGTCCTCAAGCTTGTAAGTTTAAAACGAAACATTAATTTTTTTTTAAATCATCATGTTCATTAATTGATGGTTATCTAAGAAATGAAAACTAATGTACTAATGAAAAAAAAAAAAAAATTAGAAAAACGGTAGACCCTGAAGATCGGTGCCGCGACGAGTCAACCGACGACATTTCAACCGCGACAGTTCGACCACGACATTTCACCCGATGACTTTTCAACCGAAGGACATTTAAACCGATAGACAATTCAACCGAAGGACAATTCAACCGCAAGACAATTTAACCGATGACAGTTCAACTGCAGGTTTTCCCGATAAATTGATCATCAAATCCATGATAAAAGGGCCTAACACGGTAACGCTTCTGTGTTAGTCTATTGTCGAATAAACACACAAAAACCATGATAAAAGGGTGCAACACGATTACTCGCGTTTGTGTTGGTCTAATGTCGAATAAACACACACAAAAACCATGATAAAAGGGCGCAACAAGATTACTCACGTTAGTAATGGTCTATTGCTGAGTAAACACACATTCAAACCATGTTAAAAGGACGCAACACGATTACCCGCATTTGTATTGGTCTAATGTCGAATAAACACACACAAAAACAACATAAAAACAAAAACACAAAAACACGATTACCTGTGTTTGTAATGGCATATTGCTGAGTAAACACATAATAATAATTACAATTATAAATTTTTTTTCGCATTATTTCAAGAAAAAGATTATTATTGTGCCCTTTTATCATGGATTTCGTGATCATTTTATCAGGAAAACTGCAGTTAAACTGTCATCGGTTGAATTATCTTGCGGTTGAATTGTCTTTCGGTTGAATTGTCCTTCGGTTGAAAAGTCGTCGGTTGAAATGTCGCGGTTGAAATGTCCGCGGTTGAACTGTTACAGAACCCTGAATGCCATCCCTGCAACTTCCCGTTAATTCCATACCTCGGTACTTAAAATTGCACCAATGATGTTTTCGAGCTCTCCGAGCTGTTTAACCGCTAGAAAAAAGATCTAGTCAAATACTTATAAGAAGAATTACGCCTTCGGGCTTAATCGAATCGTATGAACTCGGGAATAATCGTATCACGCTATGGCCGTCGCTCATGCGCGCTTTGGTTAGCGGTAGAGAAGCCGGCTCGCGTGTTCTGCTGCAACAGTTGTGCTTGGACTCTTGTACTAGTACTACTACTCTGTGCTAATCAATTCTGATATTTCTTACTTGCATCTCACATTCATTCAAATATTTAAATCATTCATTAAATATACATAATTATAGTAGATTCAATTATACTTTAAATTCTCAATTGATTTAAATCAGTTTAATAGTTCAGTGAATTAACATAAATAAGTAAAATCAAGTAAATTTATTTAGTGATGCCACGCGGCCATTACGCGCCACCGTGACAGAAGGATTGCATCAGCCACGCGGCTTTAGTCAATCCATAATTGACGCGTGATATTAACAATTAATTACATTAAATCAATTATTCACATTTAATTACGATCTTATTTAATTTAACTTATAAATAATTAAATTCCAATTTCAAATCATTTGACTAATTTCTACACGAAATTATCAGACTCAATTGACTAACATTCTGTTATCAATCGAATATTATTAGCTCTCACCTAGAGACAATTGAACATTAATAGCTCTCACTCTGAGACAGTTCAAATTAATTAGATATTACCAGCTCCCACCTTGGGACTTATCTAATTCAAATTATCGATAATTTTCTATCTAAGGCGGCTGAGCTCACCCCTATTGCGTTATTGCAACGTAATTTACACACACACACACACACACTTACACACATACAATTTACTTGTATAAATTTTAAACAAGGAGGTTTTTCCCAGCCTAGCTGGGTTTTCCTCCTTTGGGGACAAATAAACCATCTAAACTGTTCCCCAAAAAATCCAAGCATTTTTATTTAACTTCCTAATCCCAACTTCATCATATTTTTAAAACAATTACGAGAAATATCCGCATCGGATAGTTTTCGACAAAACACGAGCTCAAAAATACAATTTATGTGTTATTGTGAGCTCTCCGAACTTAAAGAGATAGCTTTTCTATGCTTTTGAGCTCTTCGAGCTCAAAAGTCTGATAGAAGTTTCATAGAACAATATTATTTGAATTTTTAAACCGCAATAACTTTTGAATGAAACAACCGATTTTCACGCGGTTGGCGGCATTCGAAGCAGTTTTTTTAGCCTCATAAAGAATCATGAGAATCACAAAGAACACACACACACACACACACACACATACATATTACATACATATTACATACATACATATTACATACATACATACATACATACATATATACAGACACCATCGCGGGAATAGTCAGGGAAGCTCCCTAGGACTTCAAAACGTCGAGATCTGATGAAAACTCGATTTTCGAAAAGCGGGGTAAAAACAATAACTTCCCGATTTTTGAAAATTTTCAATTTTCTTAGCGGGAAGTTAAGAAAACGATTATTTAGAAATCTCTAAATGGGTATAACTTTTAAACGCCTCGATTGATTTTAATTTACTTAGCGTCAATCGACGCAGTTTTTCAATTTAAAAAAAGTATCTCCGCAGTTAAAGGAGTTAATTGGTCAAATATTTTGAAAGTTATTTAGAATAAACTTAAAAGCAAATTTATTTTTGATTTTCATTTCTTGTATATTATTGAAATGGGTCGACTGATTGACTTCAAAATCTAATCTGATTAAAGTCTCAGTGAACATTTCCGAACGTTGTGACACTCATCTTGATCAATTGATTCGTTCTAAAGATATCTTGCGACAAAATTTTATTTACACACTAATGGATAATTTAACTTGATTTACGAAAACAAATCTTGAATCAAGATCAGCATTTTGAAGAAAATGTAGAAAATGTTTTTCTTGAGTCAAGAGAAAAAATTATTGACCCAAGAATTCTAACTCGATATTCGCTCCGAGGGCAACAGGGCTAGCGCTCGAGGTGACAATTTTAATAACTTCGTATCCAGAAAATCCCATGTTATTTCCCATGAGACGCGACATCTGCGATAAAAATCGGAACTTCACTCCCACTCACGGATATACACAGCTGCGTAATACACTTACATTTTCTGTGAGTGTATTAGTTGCCCTCGGAGCGAATAGGGTAAATGTACCAGTGGTTGACCGATTAAGGATTTTCGGCATTTCAATTGATCGTAATTAAATTATTATATGTTAAAAGAAAATAATTTAAAGTTTATTTAAACTTTAAATAGTTCATTTTTTGATATTTGATGATATATAATTAATTAATTAATGAAATAATATATAAATTCACTTTTAAATGCAGATAAGAGAAAAACACCAGTGGTTGACCGGCTTGATCCAGTAGATTGACCGGAATGTTCCAGTAGTTGACCAATTGCAGAATATTGATTATTTTTTAAACTTTGATCCGTTTTTCATGGTTCATGGATAGTTTTTTTATATTTATTTATTCAAATTAGATTCGTATTAGTGGTAAACAAAATTTTTTTTAGTTTATTACAAGAATAATAATAATAATACGTAACAGATTATTAAATTAAACTTACATTTAATAATGACCAGAGCAAAACATTTTACAAACTAGGTAGTGTAATTTAAATATAAAATAATTAATGTTAATTATAATTTATAATTTATAGTTAACAATAAAATGCACATCAATTATCACTGGGTAATACTTCTTGACTATCAATATTTTTGGATTCATCTTCAACCTCTTTGGTTTGTTGCTTTCGACGTCAAGTTGGAGTGTTTTTCTTTTTAGCTTCATCTTCTTGTTTCTTCTTTTCTCTTTCTTGCCGTTTTTTAAGTCTTGCTTCATCTTGTGATTTTTTATTTAATATTCGCTCTTCTCTCTTTTTAACTTTTCGATTTTTTCTTTCTCATCTTTTTCTTTTTTAATTAATTTTTCAGTTTGCTTTTGTAATTTTAATTGTTTTTCTTGAATTTCTAATTGAAGCTTCTGCATTTTTAGCTCGTTATATCTTTGAGAAGTAATTGCAAAAATCTTCTCTTTTGTTTGTGTTTTTTTTTGTCGGTTTTATTTATCTGGGGGAAATGCAGATGTTTTTTCCATACTTCATTATGGTCAGCTTTGTTCAACTCTTCCCTCGACTTACAATTAGTATCGTTATTATTAGACTCTAATATCACAGTCGTAGCTAAATTGCCTGATGGAGATTTAAAGCTGGATGTTTCCGGTACTCTGCTATCACTCAGTCTGCTTTCTGGTATAATCACAGTATTTTCCAAATTCACTATATCAAAACAGCTGAATGATGAGTCCAGTGGTACAGTATCATCTAAGGCCGTGGTTAAATTTAAACTATCTGATTCTAACAATAGAGTATCACTCATCAAACTTGAGTTTGATCAACATCAAAAAAAAAAAAATTTCTTGATTCTGACTCACGGTTAGCTCAGAATTTTCTGTTAGTTCTGGTGACAATTGATTCAAAATTTCTTGAGAAAAAGATGTTGATAAAAGTAATGAGTTTGGATCATTCTCTAATTCGTGCTCAAGCACAGGATTTATACGGGTATTGTCATTTAATTCTAATGAAGTGATCAATTTTCTCCAAATTGTAAACAATAATTTTTCGTCTGATGGATCTTGGTTTAAATTTACTGCTTCCTTAAAAGAATTTATCAACTCAAGTGGGATGTTATTTTCAATCAACTCTAAACATGCTTTTTTTTATGAAATTTTCATTTTGAGATTCTTGATTATCATTTATCTCAAATGGTGAATAATTGCCATTTAAATTCTGTCGTCTCGTACAAATACACTTAGAATAATCAACTCTTTTAGGGTCAAATGGGTAAAGACCGCAAGCTGGGCATTTTTAATGATGTCAGGCTTCATAGATGCTGTAAAAGCTGATGCAAATAGTGGAGCAAAATTTACTTTTGTTATCGGTTGTGTTGTTGTCTGAGCATGTTTTGCAGTTACTTTTTTCCACTCTACTTTTAGAGGCCGAAATATGCCCACATCGCAAGGCTGTAAAATATGAGTGGCATTTGGGTAAAGACAGTAAAGAAGAAGCTTATGTTTAACACAAAAATTGTGTAATTGAATATTAATATGCGATTTGTGTCCATCGAACAAAAGTAAAACAGGAAATTTGACTTCGTTTTTGACCAAGCGTGGATACAATACGTTAGCAATGTATTCATAATAAGTTGCACTTGTTATCCAACCGGTGTCACTAATACCTAATGCAAATCTTTCAGGTACAGATGCAGCAATATCACGGGGAATCCTTTGGTATGGATATATGATCATAGGATCATACCACGTACCATCCGCAGAAAAAGTACACAGAACACTTATTGACTGTTTTTCTGGGCCCGTTGCAACCTGATAAAAATTTTTTTCCCCTTTGGGGCCAAGAAGCTTCCCAGTTTTAGGACATGTTGACATTCCCAATTCATCAAGGTTGATTATACGTTTGGGATCTTTAAATATATCTTCAACCCCTTCTTCGGCTGCATAGTTTTGTAGTCCATTAAACCAATCTAAAATGTTTTCTTCTGTGACAGAAGCTCGAGCCTTAGAAAGAGTTTCTGTATTTTTTAAAACAACGTCTGGATGTCTTTGCAAGAATAAAGAAAACCATTTCCTTCCCGGCCTGTTGTTTAAAAAAGGATTAGGACGTTTAACGTCAGTTAAAATTTTTTGCACTGCGTCTTTCACATCTTCAGGATGCATTGGAAAACCTAATTTTGCTTTATCGATGATCCAGTTTTTGATACATAGTTCTTCTTGTGGTGAAAGTACAGTAGAAGGGCCCATTTTACAATCAGAAGGAACATTATCGTGAAGTTTATGTATTAACGTTCCTTTTGGAATATTGAAACGTTGACTAGCCTTATTCGCACTCATTTTTTTCTCTCGTATGATGGTAATTGGTGCATTTAAGTCCTCAGATGAGTATCTCTTCTTTACAGGCTGTTTGCTCACTTTTTTTTTTTCTGACATTTTGTTTCAATGTTGTATTTTTTTTAGACTCTGAAATCTATAGAAATATAAATCATTATTCATAAAATTCAATAGTAAACAAATAAAAATGTCATTGGAATAGTCAGACATCGAAAAGAGTTAAAGATATTAAATAAATAAAATATTCCGATAAAAATATTAAGTACATTTGTACATATAATTTTTATAATTTTGTTAAGGTGCATGAATACAATTTTTATTAAAAATAATGCCTATTGTTAAGAATAAATCATTAATTATTGTAAATTTATGTCTACTATTGCCAATGTCAAAAAAAAATTCATATTTAAACTTACCACAAACGTAAATTTGACTCAGCAGTCATCTTATTCAAAACACATCAAACACAAGGTATAAATATTTTTTATTATTATTAATTTAACAATTATAAATTATTTAATATAACAATATTCATGTACTTAAGGAGTAAATTATTCGTAAACGTATTTATACTTTTATTTTATATAGGTTAGAAACTTACAAATGCGTATGCGGTCAACTACTGGTGTTTTGAAAAATAGCGGGTTCTAATAGATGACCGAAATCATTTATTGATGGTACAACGGTGTTTTTATTGTACCAGTGTCTGACCGATGATTAAATTGATATTTATTCGATTATTTTTGTAAAAACTTATAAAAAGATTTGTTAAGAAACTATTAAAGACTACTTCTGAATTTAAATTGAAAAGATTAACCTAATAGGAACTTTTTTGTTAACTAAAGCATGTAGTCACCTTTCGGGTACTCTACTATAGTAACTGACCGATTTTTGTCAGATCATGCTGTGAGAAATTTTCATGAATAATTTTTGATGTTCTAAAAATTAAATAATATTTGGAATACCTATTTATTGTAATGATTATAAGTTCAACAGTGGTTAAAAATAAATTTCAAGGTCATAAAAAATGCAGTTGATAACAATTTATGGACTTTCTTATGCAAGCGGTCAACTACTGGTGAACGGTCAACTACTGGTGTCCGGTCAACTACTGGAACACTAACCCTAACAAAATTGATAATGATAACAAAAATGGGTTATGTAACAATGAGTGTTACGTAACAAGTCATCCGCGATAGTCTAGTCGAGAAGTTGATTTCTTGCGAAAAATATTTCCAAGTCTCCTAAAAATATAGCTGATGGCTTAAACGATCTGGAATAGCGTCTAGAAGAAGGAGTTTTTTGGATTTTTCGAGAAAAAGAAAATTACAATTGTTATTAACAAAAAACCGTTGAAAAAATTAGCCGTCCAGCTTTTTGGCAAAATCTCAAAAAGTATAAGTGATAGCTCACATATTGAAAAAGATTCTGAAAGAGCAGAAAATTTTAGTAAAAAAGTTCACGACTGCCGAAATTGTAGCTCCAATGTTTATAATTTTAATTAAGCGTTGAAAATAGGCTTTTGCGCGGCAGTTTTAGCACGCGCGCACCGCCACTCTAGTGAGCGTAGTTTTTTAATAATTTTTTTATGCAATTAAATATTAATTAAAAAATTTTAAAAAATTCTGGTGTTATCTAGATACTTCAAACAATATGATTGCGCAGTAATAAAAGTTTGTAATTTTGAAGAACGACCAAGTCCAAGCACTGACTCGATTTGTCAACAAACAAATTGCTGTAACTTTGCAACTATTGCAGATACAGCTTTCGACCTTTAAGTCGTTTTTGTAGAGTATGAGTTAACCTTTCTTAGAAATTTTAAACCTAACGTTTATCTCTTTCAGTTCTTCAATTACATGCATTTATTTATAAAAATTTGCATTTTCTATTTCTTACAATGCTTATATCTTATGTACTAATTTATTAGTTCCAGATAAAAATTATGTATTATTATTATTATTATTATTATTATTATTATTATTATTATTATTTTATTAAATGCTCAGGGGGGTTGTCCCCGGAGTCCGACTCTCCGAGGGCCCAGCCTGAGCTCCATCCATTACTGCTGGACCACTCCGCACAACAAGGCGGTTAGTGATCACAGCAGGACAAAGTCATTTCTCTAAGTAGACGGAGGGAACCTAGTAGCACAGCCTTCTGCATCCTGACTGCCAAGAACTCAGCTTTAGATGAGCAAGCTGGAACTCTGGCAAGTGAGGATACAAAAGACTGTTTAATCCCTCCAAGGACGCCGACAATCAGGACGACAAGCGTGACACGGTAACCTGGGTAAAGTTTGCCAATTTAAAACAGGAGATCCTGATATATTTGTCTATTGTGCTCTTCTTTGGCTGAGATGTTGTATTCAGCCCGGGCCGCAAACTATATGACATAAATGTCACGAGTAGCCTTATCGAAGAGCACAATATCAGGTTTGTAGTGATCTATCCGCCGGGTTGTTGCAAATGACATGTTCCAATAGATTTTGCAACTGTCATTCTCAACAACCCGGGGAATATCTCCTGGCAGATAAGGCAGCACTGGTGTCACATCAATACCGTAGCAATGACGAAGATAATAGTACAAGATAATATACAACTCCGGTTATGTGCAATGCGTTTCCACTTCCAATGTGAAAACGCGTTCGCCAGAGCTCCATTGTACGCCGAATGCATTCCACTATTTCAGGATTGACCCCTAGGCACTTGAGGAGATATAGGATCAACTCGTGAGGAGTTGAGTCAAATGCCTTGCGATAGTCGATCCAGGCCATTGAAAGGTTGCGTTGATAGTAGATCGCATCTTGTATGACACATCGATCAACTATCAAGTTCTCCTTGCAACCTGACAGGCCTCTTTTGCTGCCACGCAGTTCATATATCTGTTGCCATACAGGTTCTATCTCCTGCAAAATACGGTTGTTCAAAATTTTTGTAAAAATTTTATAAACCGCATTCAAGCAAGTGATAGGCCTGTAATTCTTTGGGTCAGACAAGTCACCTATTTTAGGTATCAGTACGGTTCGCCCTTCCACAAGCCACTCTGGAATCGGTTCGTCAGCTCTAATGTACAATGTAAATATGCGGGCCAGATGAAGCTGGGTAGAAGTGAACTTCTTCCACCAGAAAACATTAATGCCATCTGGTCCCGGGGCAGCCAAATTTTTGCTGCCATGTAGAGCTGAACGAACTTCATCCACACTGACTGCAGGGCTCTCTTCATGAGCATACCGTCTACGGTGTTCCTGACAGAATGCTTTGAAGTCATGCAGAAATGGAGTATTGGCGTTCACGTTTGGTTGATCTCCATACAAATCAGTCCAAAAAGCTTCCACCCGCTCAGGTGTTGGATAATTCCCGGTAACATCGGTCTTTGGTGTATTTCAATGCAGTGGGTAGTTGGCCCACTGCATCGGCTACGTCGTTCGCCTACAGACCTGGTGTTATGGTCTGCGTTTCCCGCGATGCGCCGCTTGGAGGCCACGTAGCAAGCACCGCAATAATTGGGCTGCCCCGGGACCAGATGGCATGAATGTCTTCTGGTGGAAGAAGTTCACTTCTACCCACCTTCATCTGGCCCGCATATTTACATCGTACATAAGAGCTGACGAACCGATTCCAGACTGGCTCGTGAAAGGGCGAACCGTACTGATACCTAAAAAAAGGTGACTTGTCTGACCCAAAGAATTACAGACCTATCACCTGCTTGAATGCGGTTTATAAAATTTTTACGAAAATTTTAAACAACCGTATTTCGCAGGAGATAGAACCTGTATGGCAACAAATATATGAACAGCGTGGCAGCAAAAGAGGCCTGTCAGGATGCAAGGAGAACTTGATAGTTGATCGATGTGTCATACAAGATGCAATCTACTATCAACGCAACCTTTCAATGGCCTGGATCGACTATCGCAAGGCATTTGACCCAACTTCTCATGAGTTGATCCTATATCTCCTCAAGTGCCTAGGCGTCAATCCTGAAATAGTGGAATGCATTCGACGTACAATGGAGCTCTGGCGAACGCGTTTTCACAACGCGTTTTAGTACAAACGAGGGGTCTTCCAAGGCGACTCCTTGAGCCCTCTGCTGTTTTGCACTTCACTGCTGTCTATATCTGTTGCTCTCCGTAAAACCCGTGGGTACTCTGTGGGGCCCCCGGGTGATCAAAAATACTCGATCACCCATCTGCTTTACATGGATGATCTCAAGCTGTATAGTGCTAATGAAGATCACCTACAGGCGGCCCTTAACATCGTAGCAAAGTACACACGAGATGTCGGAATGTCCTTTGGGTTGAACAAGTGTGCGGTCGTACATCTGGCGAGGGGCAAGTGCTCTGATACAGGGGATGATGTCGACTTAGTAGATGGGAGCGTCTTAAGACAATTAGACGCCGGAGAGGTGTATAGATATCTAGGAATAGAAGAGCACCGCATGCATGCGGTCTCTGAAGTCCGAACAGCTCTCCGCAGCGAGTATGTTAGGAGACTCCGAAAAATTTGGTCGTCCGAACTTTCCGACAAAAATAAAGTCTCCGCTACTAATATACTCGCTGTTCCAGTCTTACTGTACTCTTTCGGTGTCCTGAAATGGGCCCGAAAGGATGTGCGAGATCTCGACATCAAAACCCGTAAGATTATCAATATGAACCGGAGCATGCACCCCAATTCATCAGTCGCCAGATTATACCTGTCCAGATCCATCGGTGGGAGAGGTTTGCAGAGCTTGGAGAGGCTTCACGATCGTTTGGGCCTGGGTTTAACATTCGAGGTTGTCAATTTCACTGCAGACAAGAATGACTTTCTTATGCAAATTGTACATAAAAATGAAAATGCGCATAAAGGGTCGTTCTTGTAGAAGTCAGCAATATATGCGGCAAGAACCCTCGATCTTGGAGAAATAAACGCTCTTATGGAACTTCGAAAGAAAAAATTCAAGAGCGTCATCAGGAACGCCAAGGAAAAACTACTCCTTGGCGAACTAAAGGACAAGTCCATGCACAGCGTGTTCCTCAAACACGTGCGTGATCATGGCTTATCCACCCAGCTGACGTTTTCCTTCTTAAAGTCAGCTGGCCCGATGTCCGAGACTGAAGGGTT